TACACTTCACGTCCACCCCGTGTATATTCATAAAGTATATCACTGCACCAGGTGACCTTGTTACTTTGCTATATTTACACTAAGAAGGCTATAGCATTATAACAATAGTTTACAAATTATGAAATAGACAGAAGTTATGAATTGAGAGTCGATAAGTTTATTAACCATATCAAGATACAATTATAAATTGTTAAAGTAATTTTGCATCCTAGTATCAATGCAATGTAATAATTATGTTACATGTAAAAAAAAAAAGTTTAATAGATATATATATCAAAAAAGGCTACAAAAAAGCCTTGCTTTATTTATTTTATTTATTAGTGTGGAATTGTAAAAAACAATTCTATTTCTCTTTGCAACAAAGAGGTACATTACACACAATATACCAAAAATTACTATGGTTTGGTGATTTATGACTCATCTTTAGTTTTTTTTCTTTTGCCAGCCAAGAATACTAGCAACACACTTCTCGTTTTAATTTCCATATCACAAAGTAGTTCCCAGGTACTAGATGCAGATCCGAAAGCTCAAAATTTTTTGTTATTTTAGACCATTTTGTTTTTTCTAAATTTGTTTTTTTTTTTTTTGCATTTTTGGAATCAAACTTTATCATTGTTAGCAAAGTTTACAAGATTCCAAACAAGCTCATAGTGGAATTCCTTGTGTTCTTGTATAGTTCTCAATATTCTGCCGATATGGTATGAGTTAATAATGGCAGTATCTAGAAGCCAAAAAAAAAGTGGCATCCAATTCCTCTGTGTTGTTTTTTGTATGCTGTAATATAATTGTAGCTAGTCGGCTATATCAACACTATTTATATTATTGTTGTAGTTATCTACTATTTTAGGAATCTTTAATTTTTTTTTTGGCTCTGAGCCAAATACTATATGCATCTTAGCCGGTGTTGTTAATAGATATATTTATTACATACAAGAAAAAAAAAAAATTTAATAATTCAATTTTATCAACTACTTAATTTAACCACACATAGAAAAAAAAAAGCTGATATACAAATAAAATAATTGAAAGCCACTTAACTATCATTTAAGTAATTTTGCAGACATGCATATCCACAAAATCACATAATAATCATACTAAAAAAAACTCTTGAAAAGCAAAGAGATGATTAATATCTTTGTATAAATGTTTTTTTTTCCCCCTATTTAAGATTTATGTATTAGTATACATTATTATGTACTTATAATAAAATCTGAGTGTATTGCATCCAAACCCTTAAAATATTTGAAATAACTATACTGTAATATTGAATTGATCCTTTAATAACATACACATTTAAATTTTGAAAATTCTTACAATTTGATGTAATTAATTGAATGCAAAATTTATACAAAATATGTATAAGATGTTTAGTAAATGAAATCTTAATTTTAATTTTACAAGCTTGGAAGTTGTCTAAGCATGACCAAAAAAAAGAAAAAAAGAAACGATATATATATATGCTAATTCTTTTTAATCAATAAAGTAAAATCGACAACAAAAATATGTAATCCAATTCATAAAAAAAATTTCATTATTTTCTAGGCTGAATCACATGCTTTTCATGAATTTTTTCATGCCGATGAAGATTGCTAATGACTGAGAAACACCGACCACATCCTTCAAAACTGCATTTAAAAGGTTTTTCACCAGTGTGAGTGTACGTGTGAGTTTTCAATTGACTGGGTCGAGTGAACAATTTTTGACAGTAGTCGCATTTATACTTTCTCAGAGGTGTAGTCGACGCAACTTTTGAGCTATAAACAGTTATCATTGAAGATTGTGGTAATGGAGAATGCATTACTCGTGGAGGATTATAACGCATTTGTTTAGACCTTAATGATTGAGTTGAAAAATGAAATTGATCGGTCATAGGCGAATAATCATGTGATAACGGCATAGGTGTAAAATTTTCTGCACGTGGAGGAATTCCGGCTTGTTGATAATTATAATTCACGGAGAAAGGGAGGCTTTGCGGAATAAAAGTATTTATACCGGATGGTTTAACCATGGCAGGATCCGTGAAGAATACAGGATCTATAGCTGATTCGTTATATCCTTTTACTGGTTTAACGAACAGTAAACCGAGGGAGGAGGGGTAACGGTAATCGACGAATTTAAATTTAAGTTTAAATTTTAATTAATTTTTATAAAGTTGATGAATTTGCATACCATTAGAGACGAGAGGTGGTGAAAAAACGAGTGGCTCATGTTCATGGTCACCGTTGAGAAAAGTAGGTGGCGAAGGGGCAGGAGACTTGTGAGCCATCATTTTTCGGAGCTAAAAGATTGATCCGTGAATATTAATTCTTTTTGATCGTCGAAGTAGGAATTTAAAAATTGAATTAATCAGGATCCCTCCACTGCCGTTACAGCCAGAGAACTGTTTACTTATGCAATTAATTAAGGAGGATTTTAAATATCCGAGGTCAAAAAAAAAAGTGTAAACTATATTACACTTAATAAAAACTCACCAAAACTTTAGTAATACACAATCCAATCAATCAGGTCCAAGTTGCTTTTTTTAATAAGAGAACCGACTGGTGGATGTGTAGAAAGAAAGTTGAAAATACGCAAATAGTAATAAAGTGCAACGTGGGCTTCTTTTTAAGCAAAACAAAAAATAATTAAGATAGGTTTTTGTACGTGTTTATATGGTTTTATGATCATGTACAGACATGCAAGTACATTTGTTTATGCTGCGCCAACAATTAATATATGTCATAAACAGTGTTGTTTGTGCATAATTTTACTTAATTTGACTACGTATCACAAGATAAACAAGTACGCGTGATTTAATTGATTAGCTGATTACGTAGTTTATAGTAATATTACGTCAGAAAGGCAATAAATTTGCAATTGATGTTACATAAGGATAATCCGAATAAATTAGTCAATATTAACTTGGCTCGTATTTTTTTTTGCCTTTCTGTTTGCATGCGCTAAAAAATTAAATGCCATTATTAATTTTTCTTTTTTTGATAAAATTATTACGATTTTTAAAGTGAAATCATTTAAAATAATCTTACTCGTATTCCTATGATCATTGTCAATGAATCCCATCAATTGACGAACAACATGTTTATTGACATGTTTAGGAAGATCTATAATAATCTCCATATCTGGTGATAGCATAGAATTAAGATCCATATATGCATCATATGCTTCAAGTGCCTTCCGATCAAACTCTTCGAGGAGACTCTCAAACTGCTCATTCAAATTAATTCATGTACATATGAATACTCGTTAATTTGTTTATGTGATAAATACTCTCACAAACGATTCGATAATATATACTTCTCTAACTTTCTGTAAGATCTCCTCTGTACATTCAACTTCTTCTTTCTCGTTTCCATTCTCACTTTTCCCTTGACTTTTAACATGCTGTGAATGGCTTGATTTTTTCACTGTGGTGCGTCGTTTCGATATTTGATTTAATCCTTTATCAATCGGTTCTTCTTTTACGACGACATTTTTAGAAATAAAATAATTCTTTTGTTCAAAAATTTGACTCGTTACAATGACATTTAGTTCTTGATTATCAATACACTCTTTGTTCTCTGAATTTTTATCGTCAGAATCGTTTTGAGCTTTTTTTTTTTGTAAAGCGGATTTTTTTTCTTATTAATAACTGATCATCGATAATCCCTGACCAAATATAAAGTATTCTTGTGCTCACATACAATCAGCATAAAGTTCTTGAATATTAGCAATAGTCGTCGAACCTGAGCCAGTTCTTGATATATTCGTGGTTGGTAACGAAGAAAGCCAATCGCGAACATATCTTGGTTCCGGAATTATTAACAATTGATCTGTTTCGAGTCTTGGAGAAAGTCTTTCTACTTTAATTTGTGGTGAAGTACTAGCAGTGTCACTTCTATCATTCCTTTGCTTCATTATAACAAGGCGTTGTTTGTAGGATCGTCGTTTCTATAATGTAACCATTTATTTACGTACGAACTTACGTGACATCTAACACGTTAATATTTTCTGTGTTTGCGTTACAAATAATATTTGGGCAAATAACCCCTGTCCTGTTACACAACGACTGGCCCGGAGGTTATGCATTCTTTCTCCGTTAATCTACGTCACTCAACAATT